GAATTAAAACAATAATTCGTATAAAGCACTTACCAGAGTGTCTGGCACATGGCAAATGTGTAATATGTTAGCTATCACTATTATACAGTCATTTAGAAAAATTGCTAAGCTGACAGTATCCGTGGAGAGTAAAACGTAAGCCAATTTATAGTCATTTACTTAAGTGTACTGGTATGTAAGTTTTGATCATTACTGTCATGGACATTTGCATAAGGCTTCATAGTACCCAGGACATTTGATATACATTACTGCATCTTCACTGTGGTTGAGGTGCATGGAGGATAGATTTTACTATTCCCTTACTTTGGTAAGAGAATTGAGATTTAGGAGAAGATTCTAAATCACTTGAATATTTCATCACTGTTGCTCTGGACTAAAACTCAGACTATGTACCCTTGGGAGAGAATGCACAGACCAGAGCTGGGTTTTCCTGGGTAACTAGTCTAACTCCTGGATTTTGTTTGGTTCTATGTTCAATTGTGGAATGTTACAGAATGAATTAGTCTCAGGCTTGGGTGATTTCCACAGAGACCTATGGTGCATGGAGCAATTTTACAAAAAAGACAACAAATATCTCCAAAAAGACATTATCATTAAGTGTCCTTTTCTTCATCAGTAATTAATCACAATCCCTGTCTCCAAAATGCTTAATGGTCATGCTTACTTGCAGCTGGATTTAGGGTGCAAAATTCATACTTTTCATGGATCACTGACATCTGGCTTTCTTCAGACTGGCTGATGCATCTGTAAAAGCAGTTTGATAAAAATAGCAACCAAGGGATCAAGAGGGAGTTTAATAATCAGTCATCCTCTCAAATATGGTTTTGTTTCCACTGAAACCCTTCTTCTCAAAGACATCAAATGTCAATGTATGCATTTATGAAAGATGAAAAACACAGTACCCTAATTGAGATGTTTGATGAGTTTGATCACTCATTATCTCAATAATATATGCAAATAAAAAGGCATTTGCATTCAAAGTTCATTTTTAAGAAAAATATTAGAGTAAGGGCAATGAAATGTTAATTGGATTTTAAGGAGAATCATTTTGCTCGTTTTTGGTCCTGAAACTGACAATATCCCCATACTCGAACAGAGCAGCACAGCTGATTCATGAGTGTGAGTTTTGGCCACCAGCTGTTGTGAGCCAAATGACTTTATCTTTTTGACATATCATCTTTTGTGGATTCTTTCCAACCCATGTGAAATGTATGGCTAAAGCCTGACTATCCATAATGTCAATATTATTGGTAAGGCTAAATATATTCACAAGTATAAAAATGCTAAAATTGGGCAAACAGGGAAAGGTTGGTAAAAGAGTACAAATTTTCAGCTGTAAGATGAAGATCTAGTGTACAACACAGAGACTATAATGGTTGACAACACTGTATTACATAAACAAAATTTTCTAAGAGAGAACTTAATGTTCTCACCAAATATATACATGTGAGGTGATGAATGTGTTAATTAACTAGATGGTGGGATTCCTTCCACGATGCATACTTACATCAAATCACCACAATGTATACTTTAAATATTTCAGAATTTTGTCAATCATACCTTAACAAAGTTGAAAAAATAAATGTTTAAAAAGCATGATTAGAGAGATATCAGGATAAGAGGGGGAGTCAGAGCTAATAAGAAGCCCCCAGTGAGGTAAAAAGGCCCCCACCAATATCTGAACGAATTCATGTGGCTCCAGGGTCTGCTGTGAAACCCTTTACATTGGAAGCAGCCTCACTTCGTAGGATGCCCCAGTATATCCTTGTATGCATACATGACTTGAGGGCCCATAAGGTTTCATCAAGGCCAAATTCTCCTAGGAAAATAGCAGAACTGACAATTCTGTAAGCATCTGAATGTATCTCAAAGCTGAGATTTTAAATGCTGGGAAAGAGAGGCTTGTTTATTTCTTACTACATCTGGGTGTCTGCTTTCAAGGTCATTCAGAAAAATGCATGTCAAATGGGGAGAACATTTGACATTCTGACAAATACTAGGCACACACATCTATTTTTTCCTTGATAAAACATAATTATTATAGAAACATCAAGATTTATATGACACTCTACTCTTGCAGAAATTATTTGCCCTAAGGTTTAGTCTTTCTGCTTCACTTAAAAAATAAGAATGCTAACACCTTGTTTTTATGTTTGTTCATTGTTTGTCTGATGAGGGAAATTATCAAGAAATGTTTTAACATCCCTTAAGTTTTTAAGCTGCAGTGTCTATGATATTCATACGGACTGTGAATTTAGATTGGGTACTTACATGTTCCTTGTGAAATGTTTCTCTGCTCTGACTTGGTTCAGTAGTTATTACATTTCCTTTGAATTAATCTCTCCATGGCTTGTTGCGTGTATTAGTTGTATACCCTTGACCTTGGAGTCTGACCTATTCTCCCTCTTGAGCAGACCTCTAATGGAAAAGTGACATGGAATCAAGCTGAAGCCCTTGCTCCTTCTAGGACAGCTGCCATCTCATCTCTGACACACCACTCAGATGCTCCTGAGTGGAAACTACCTTTTCTCAAGTTGAGTTGTAATGGCTAAATCCAGAGACGTGCTCCTGAGAGCAGTATAAGCCTCATCATAGGACACACATTCCATCAGAAAGACTATTACTCTTCTATGGGCTCAATTCCCACTTGTGTGTGTGTACCCAGATGACAGACCTTAAAACTGACTTCATAACATCCTCTGAAACAAGGCTCTTTGGGGATACAAATGAGGTGACTGCTTAGCTTTCAACTCAGTCTCTTCCTTCCCTCCGAAAAACCTGTAATAATAAATGCCTGCACCCTATTTGTAAGTCCCTGTCTCCTACAGAGGTCTCTAGAGGACTCCCAATCTACAGTCTGCTTTGGCATCAACAAGCAGCCTCTCTCCCTGGAATGATGGGATTGTTGAGAGAAATGGGCTCAGAGAAGCTCGTGAACGTGAATACTGAGAACCTTTTCCCCAGAAATCTTTTATCCAAATGCACTTTAGGAAAAGTGGATGGCAGTTCAGATCTCTTCCTAAAGGAACGCAGAGCTCTCTATTACGATTTATCACCCATGGTTACTTTTTGACGGAGTTACCCATAATTATTCCTTTTAATTTTTTGCAGATGAAGAAGCTACTCCACTGAATAGTTTAGCAGCTTCCCCCAAAAAGTGTGTGACTCAGCTCTAGGCAAGATTAGAGCATAAGCTCTGGCCTCCAAGTCTTGTGCCTTATGCCAGATAGGACACCCTAAAGGAGCTAACAGTAAAAGGGTTTGAGCAGGTCAAAAAGTAGAACAAGCAGAAAACAAATGGAGCCCAAAATTTTAAAAATCACAAGATTGCCACTTTTTTAAATCTCAAAACACTAGATTTAGTTTAAAGGTCTTCTTCTAGGATTACTTTTTTTTTTTTATATAAATGGCTTAAGTAAAGTAATGAGTATTCTTAATGTATGAAGACATGAACAATAACAAAAAGACTATTGGAAACACAGAAAATAGTTCAAAATAAATCCCCAAGTACTTACACTTTAGAATACATACTGTCTTACTGAAATGTATGCCATTCTAATATTATCTGAATAATGTGAGTAGGGGTAGACTAGAAAAAACAAGAATAGAAAGTATGGGTAGTGCCAATTGGAGAATCAGCTATTCAAGTTTGTAGACAATTAGGGATCATGTGGTCCAGGCTCTATATTATAGTGAAAGCATCCTGTGCCAGGGATCCATTCAAAGTCTCAGTGCTAGCTGAAGATGGGGTGTCTGACTCAGGCTCAAATGATACAATACCTTTTATTTTTCTCTAGTCTGACTTTTTAAAACCCTGGCAAACTAAAGATTAGGTCACTTGCCCAAAGTAACCAAGTTGTTCAAAGGTGGGAGGCTGGACTCCTACTCTAAGCCCTCTGACTTCAAAGCCTGTCTCTCAGTCCTACTTGTGTCAGCATCATACCCTGGAATAAGGACAATATCACCTGTAATAGGATCAATGCCAGAACTGCACAAGTAATATATGTGAAATTATTAACTTCTTAGTATAGTGCAGAGAATAGGTGCTTAATAAATGTTTAACCATTATTACCAGTAGTATTAGTATTAACCTCTACACTCTGCCACAATAGCAAAGAGCAAGTGAAAAATAAACCCAGCATCTAAACTGACCTGTTCTTCCATCTATACAAAAATCCAGGTTTGATCTGAGGAAGCTAGGGCTGAATTTCCTCAGGGGAGGCACTTCAGTGGCCATCAGTAAGTGGCAATGTGGCAAGCACAGTCCCCATATAGGATAGCCACCTGGACAGCACCAAATATGGAAGTAGAGGCGTGTGGCCATGCCTGCGTGTGGCAGGAGGGTTATCACAGTGAGGGAGTTCAAGGGGGCAATGCACCCAAAGCAAAGGCAGAAGTATCCGAGGTGGCCAGGTCTACAGCAGAGCCCTGGGGGAACTGGGCATGCCAACAGGCAGGAGGGTACAGAATAAAACCAACACAGTTTTCTAATACAGGTCACCTACTTATTCCCCTGATGGACCCTATCCCCACACAAAAAATTATCCACGTTGTACAGGTAAATTCACAGAGAAGCAAGGTATCAAAGCCCAGGGAAGTTAAGTGATGTGCTGAACTTTGCACAAATGGAAAGAAAATTCACAGTCCTTGTCCTGTTTCGACCACATTCCTAGCCCACACCCTCTCTATCTCCCATTATGCTCCCCCTGAACCCACATTTCAGTCTGCCACCATTCCTCCACCCAAGGTGTACAGATGCTGGATAACCGAATCCACATTCCTTTATATGAATAGGAATAGTTCAGGTTAGCCAACCCATCTTCATCTCAGTGACAGGAGAATGATTTCTAATAAGATTTCATAATTTCTCATAAGATCCCAATTGTGAGATTCTTTTTCATCTCGACAATTTGGGTTTGCTCTGCCCCTGCGGACCTTGCAGGCCCCTGGGAGAGTAACCAAGCATCTCTGCCTTGTACCCCGACAGGTTGGGGAGCAGCACCTTCAGAAACATGCAGCGCCGGCACACGACACTGCGGGAAAAGGGCCGCCGCCAGGCCATCCGGGGTCCTGCCTACATGTTCAACGAGAAGGGCACCAGCCTGACACCCGAGGAGGAGCGCTTCCTGGACTCGGCCGAGTATGGCAACATCCCCGTGGTCAGGAAAATGCTGGAGGAGTCCAAGACCCTCAACTTCAACTGCGTGGACTACATGGGGCAAAACGCGCTGCAGCTGGCTGTGGGCAACGAGCACCTGGAGGTCACGGAGCTGCTGCTCAAGAAGGACAACCTGGCGCGGGTGGGGGATGCGCTGCTGCTGGCCATCAGCAAGGGCTACGTGCGCATCGTGGAGGCCATCCTCAACCACCCGGCCTTCGCCCAGGGCCAGCGCCTGACTCTCAGCCCGCTGGAGCAGGAGCTGCGCGACGATGACTTCTATGCCTACGACGAGGACGGCACGCGCTTCTCCCACGACATCACGCCCATCATCCTGGCGGCGCACTGCCAGGAGTATGAGATCGTGCACATCCTCCTGCTCAAGGGCGCCCGCATCGAGCGGCCGCACGACTACTTCTGCAAGTGCAACGAGTGCACCGAGAAGCAGCGGAAGGACTCATTCAGCCACTCGCGCTCCCGCATGAATGCCTACAAGGGACTGGCAAGCGCTGCCTACCTGTCTCTGTCCAGTGAAGACCCTGTCCTCACCGCGCTGGAGCTAAGCAACGAATTGGCCAGACTAGCCAACATTGAGACTGAATTCAAGGTAACTCTCCCACTCACCACTCTGCAGACAGATTGCCCAGAGGGCTCTTCCAGGTGTGTCCAGTAGTCAAATGGGTTGTCTTCCGGTCTAACCCTGGGTGAGGGCCTTGGGGTCTCTCTGGCCCATGGGGAAGAAGGGGATTTCCTCAACCTTGCCAGATGTAGGCCTAAAGGAAAAGCAGCCCATTAGATGAAATATTTGAAACCACCTAAATGTGAACAAGAGGTGACTTAAGCACAAGTCTACATAGTAAAAGACAAGCAGCACACAGGCAGGATGATATTGCTCTGCCCCAGGGAGCTCAGGAGTGTCTAGGACACCTGTGGAGGTTTCCTAGACCAGGTCTGGGACTTCTTGATTGTCTCACCTGAATGGCTTTGATTTGTCTTGTCCAGCTCTTGATCCCATCCTGGACTGTGTTGATCCTAGATTCAGTCTCCTATCCAATGCTAGAAAGTCTTGCCTGCAGTCTTTCTCAGTTTAGCAAGCTATTACTATTGTTCTGTCAAGGGGCTAAGGGAAAGGTATGTGGAAATGAAAATAAAACTGTCTCTGTGTAGTTGGGCTTCTTACCTCAGTAGATGGGACCAGTGCAAAATCCTGTAATCCAGCCCCCTGAGAATACCTAAATGACCACACTAGCCCGGGAAATGGAGACCCATCTCCAAAGTCCACTAGTCAATAGTGGAGTGATCCTGTGCTTTTACTGTCAACTGACACTTCTCTTTGAGGGAGGTGTCTAAAAACAACCATTAATATGGGTACCATTATTATCCTCATCTTTGATGAGGGCACAGAGGTAAAGAGATATCATGTAGCTGGTAAGTAGCGAAACCACTGTTCTAATCTAGGCACTCAGAGCCCAGAGCCAGCTCTTAGCTATTCTGGGAAAACTGTTCATGCACTGGGCTTCTCAAGGTTCATTAGTCTTTATCTGAATGATGAAGGTATTGAATACCCCACTGTGGAAGGTACACCTGGAAGAGTAGAAACTATAACAGGCTCAGCATTTCTAACCTACTATTCAGTCAGAGCCTATGATGCCTTTGGAGCATTTAAAAAGGTGTCACATGCAAGGCCAACAATGGAGCTGGGAAAGGATGTTAACTGCAGGAGAAAAGTTCATTGTCCAAACAAGATGTCCCTGCAAGAGCTGCCCCTGTACGGGACACAATTAGGTGGCCAAAGATGGGTACCAATTCAGCCAAAGGAGGCCCCATGGACCATGGTGTTCAGGGAGAACTCAAAGAAGGAAACAGAATGGGGCTGGGCCTTGCTGAGCAGGAGGAACTGGATCAGTGGGAAGAGAGAGGTGGGCATTTGGAGGAGGCAAGTGAAAGTGAAGTCCAGAATGGCCCAGAGCAGGCAGGGGACTGCCAAGAAGCTGCATGGGCCTAGAACAAAGACTTCCTTTAGGGGCACACAGGAAGAATGCTGCAGAGATGGCTTGGGGTCAGATGTCAGAGGGTTCTGTGTGTCAGGCTGAACACTTTGGATGCTCTCCTGTAGGACATGGAGAGCCACTGAAATTTGTGATTAGGGGGCTAAAATGATGAAAGCTAGAGTCGTAGAAATTTACTTCACTGGTAGGTTAGCTGAATTAGAGGATTTGGAGTGTGAGGCACTGGGACCAAAGGGGAGACAATTTAGGTGTGCATGCATGAGACCATGGAAGCCTCTCTAAAGGAATGTATCACCCACAGCCACAGACTGAAGAGCCAGGCTCACAAAAAGCTGTGGGGCACTGCAGACTGTGAATAGATGAAGGAATCTTATAAATAACTAATTTTAAGCCATCTGTTCCCCTATCTTGGACGCATCTACTGAAGTGGAAAAACTTCCCTAATCCTGCATTGTTCATAGCCTCATCTAAAAAAAATTGATGGGTATAGATGAGGGGATTACCCAAAGAGGTCCCAAGGAATGTAGCTATTGCCTGTTCTTTCCTTGTTTCTGTACAAGAAACTCCATCAACCAGCAAGAAGGTCAATGAAGTCCCAAGGAAGGTGGGTGGAGTTGTGCTTCTTCCCTCAGTCTCAGACTGAATCTTCACAGGCCATGTAAATAAATGGCTAATCCAATTAATTTAGATATTTCTGGCCCAAGGCGGGGGGGGGGCAGGGGGGAGAAATTCCAGAAAAAAAAAAATTGGATGCAGTTTTCTGGTTAATTGCACAATAAATAAAACAATGCTAGACTAACATTTGGAATTACATCTGAGCCACTTGTTTCCTTTACTAAAATCACAAGTCTGGCATATTTTAGTATGTATAGTATCTAAAACTGGAAGTTTGTGGAAAGCATGATATTTTGATTTAAAAAGTAAATTATGAAAATTAGAAACAATTAAGAGCACTACTAACATGATGACAAATGTGTTCTACAATTGCAATGCCTTACTCAAAATAAGAGCTAACATAAATACATTTGCTGGCTATTAACATCCCGCTAGTTACCTTTGTTTGAAATAACGTCTTTCACATTGTCGACAAGTGGCACATTATAAATTAACACAAGCGTTCCTTTAGAACTTTATTACTTATTCAACTATCCTTGTATGTGCATTCCTGATATTATAAATCTTCTCAGAGAAGAGATCAGCTTAGCCAAAGACAAGTCAATTTGTAAGAAAAGAATAAAGAGCAAGTGTGTGTTCTAAAATGCACTCTTTAAGTCTGTCCTGCTTTAAAGGGACTAGGCATGGCTGACTGTAGCCACGTGTATGTGGATGACCCAGTGACATCAGCTGTATAAAAAAGGTATCCAGTCCTGACTGGAGGTGTCATATGTCATCCTCCAGATCCTCTAAGACACTCGCTCTGGGAACGGCTGCTCCCGACTAGAAAAGCTCATGCAGGGACACCTAGATTCAGTGGTCTAGTCTACTGTTTTTGAGTCGCTGTAATTTATCACCAGAATAGAGTCTAGTCATTAACAAGATGTACAGACAATGTCCATGTCTCCAGTAAATTATGGCTAAAGTCAGATGCCTGCTAGCAAGCCAGTATTTTTGGTTTGGAAATGATGCATCTCTTCAAAGATTTTTCTTATGCCTCTCTCATTTTGGGGGTCTAAAAAGATAGGAAAACTCAGTGTGGCCAGTGAGACCTTCTTAATGCCTTGACTGGTGCTCAGTAATCTAGTAAGCATTCCATAAATTCTTGATGAAGGGAATGAAGGAAATCCTGAAAGCATAATCCTTCCAACTGAGGAAGCAAGTGATTATGTTTATCTATGATTTAAACTCTTCCTACATGTAAGAATCTAATAGAGCTATTTGATAGACACAGTGAGATGGGAAAGCTCTACAGAAGGTTACGAGGTGGTTACGGGGATCAAAAGAACACACATTAAATAACAGAAGACCAATCATATGCTGCATTGTATGGTGCCAGTGGCCACTAAACTCCTGGAGGGCACCACCCACAAGTGACATTTTGGTTAACTGGCTTATCTATAGAGGAGGAGACAGACACAGAGAAAGGGAATATCAGCACGGGGTGGGCTATTCAGAGGTGTTTCATCCTGATGGAGGCTCTCTCTGTATATAGAAAAATTAAGGTTGAGTTACAGTCTCTGCCACCAGGAACACAATAAGGTCTTTACATTTCTCTTGAATTAGTCTGGTTTTCTCCACTGATCAGCCTTCTGATAAAACTGCTGAGGATCCCCTTATTTTGCTGGTATCTTGCCAAACTCTAGGGCATCCTGTCTATGTGTGTTGCTTATCTACAGAGCTGTTGTTCCAAAAGGATTACAGGTGTTAATCTTTCTTCTAACTCAGAGTTATGCTAGCAGCAATACCGAGTGGGAGCAGGAAGAGGTGGAGAAGGAAAGGACAACAGAAAATTGGAAAATCATGGAGTGAGATTTAGGGATTTGGAAGGAAAGAGAAAACAGAGCAGGGACTAGAGGTATCCCTCTTGCTCTCTCACCTTTTGCTTAAATTTAAAAGTACCCCCTGTTCCCAAGTCAAGGAGTTATGGAAGCCCAAGAAACACTTTACCTTAGTTACTGAACACTTGGTCATCGGAATAATAACAAATAACAACAAATCTACAACTAAGAAGACTTTTCGTGTTGACACAATATCAGCATGGAGGCTGCTGATTGTGCAATTTATTCTAATAAACCAGAGAGGAGAAGAGTAGGGGGCAAGAAAGCTAAAGCTGTAGCTTCATCTTGCTTAAAGTGTTGATGACTTCACTGTATTCACAGGTATTATGAAAAAACAGATAATGAATTATGTATCAATGTTTGTGTTGCCATTTTAAGACCCATAAAAAAAAAAAACCTCTCTGGGCCTAAAATACCACAGATTAAAAATGCAAATAATGATAAATCAGACCAATTTGCCACCTGCTATGATCTCTACTGAGATCCCATTGTGGAAGGTAAAGATGTTGAGATGGCAGTTTGTAATCTGCTTGCAAACTTATCAAAATGCAAGAGGAAAGAGGAGGGGAGAAGAAGGAGTGTCTTTGTATTGTGGTAGGGAGAGCTCAAAGCACATAGGAACTCAGGCCATATGGAGCCAGGGAGCTAGGAAGCCAAAAAGCTTGAGTAAAGGCCCACCCTGGGCCTGAGGCAGTATTGGAAGGTTGAATAAGCGTGTTGCTCCCAGCATCCAGTAGAATCTGTGTTTTGCACCTGTTTCTCATGCTTTGAATATTTTTAGGATTTTCAAATTTTATAGACCAACACCCGGGGAAAATACATTTCCTTGAAGTTTGAAAGCCTGGCTGGTAGTATAAACAAATGCCTACTTAACATGCAAGAAATGACTTGAAAATTGTTTCTTTTACCATCGGGAAAATATTTTTTAAGCTGCGAAGTCTGCAGGTCTTAAAAGCAAGTTGTCGGAGGTTTTTTTGTTTTGTTTTGTTTTTGTTTTTTTCCTTAAGAGAACCTGGCAGAAAACTCCTCAAAGCACTCACTTATCTATCAATTCCCAGTATACCTTCAGGGATCTGACTGTGTGCCCCAAGCCCTCTGCCTGA